AAAAAAAAAAAAAAAAAAAAGATGGAGCTTTCAAAAGCTGATTGGAAGTCCTAAGTGCTGGCTTCAATATAGAGTGATGACATTGGGTAATTTTGTGGGGGTCCCAACTGGATCTGTGGCTTGCTGTTCACAGGCTGCTCAGTGTCCCCCAGGGGAAATGCTCTATTCCTCCACCTAGGAGATATACATCTGGCTGCTGCTGTTCTGGGAGTCAGGGTGAGGGAGGTACCTGGGTTGTCAACTGTCTAACGTGCGATGGTCCCTCACCCTTGATTGTGTGTCCATTGTCCCTGATTATTCCATAATCTCCTTGGCTCAACTTTTCCAAGTATGAACCTTAGTCTTTTGCTGGGTGGAGAAAGGGCAGACCCACCTGCACAGGATGAGAGGAGGGATCTGGGGACCTAACATCACAGATTCCAACTCATTCTCCTGTTTTCATCTCCAGCTTTACCTTCATTTTCAGAGGTCGAATACTTCCAACTGAGTCTTTTGGGGGTCCTGTACTGTGGCTCACCCTGGGTTTTTCTCACTGCAGGCTTAGGTTTTGGCTGTCTCTGATCTGCTTATCTGATAACTGTTCATCTGTCTGCTTTCTAGCGGCTGATTTTTGTGTAATTAGCTTTGCTGTTTATTCTATATGCTTTCTCTTTGTAGGTTTATGTCTTTTCAAGTCATTTCCTATAATTTTCAAAGGGTTTTTTGGCAGGAAGGACAAAAACCACATGTGCTATATTTAACTGGAAATCTCAAGAACAATATGTTTTATAACCTACTTTTTCTACTAACTATATAATGGCTGCGTTTCCTGTCTGATGTTGATCATGATCTTGTTGGGCCACCTGAAATTCCTTTGTATGGATGAACTTTCCAAACTTACCCAGACTTCTGTTTGTCAGGCAGGGCATTTAGATTGTCTTTGTTAAGTATGCATTTGGAGGAGGCATGAAATGGTAGGTAAGCACTGAGTGTTGGGATCAGGTAATAAGGGGTCATACCTTGGCCACCTGAACTGTGATCATGAGAAAGCCGCTTAACCTCTTTGAGCCCCAGTTTCATCTGTGTAAAAATCACAGTTCTTGAAATCTTATCATGGTTAAACAAAAGGATCAGCAGACTTATTTTGTAAAGGGTCAGGTCATATCTTAGGTGTTGTCAACTATGTGGCCGGCGCTGGAACTATTCAGTTTTGCAGTAGAAGCATGAAAACAGAGACGGTATTTAAGTGCACAGGCCTGACTGTTCAGTAAAACTTCGTTTACACCAACAGGGAGTGCATTGGATTTGGCTTATGGGTCACAGTTTGCTGAACTGATACATGAAAACACTTTGCTCAGTGACTAAGTATATAGTAGGACCTCAGTAAATGTAACTTTAAATTTTACCATATTTGTGTGAACCTAAGGCAATCTTCAATATAGGTAACCTTCCATTTTCTTAAGAAAACGCAAAAACCTTTTCTTGGCCAACTTGACTAAGCCTTTCAGGAACTTAGATCATATAATCATAAGTCTGTTTATGGTATGTATTTGTAGTTACACTTGTATTTTCAAATTCATATGTTTTCCCCACTCTGCTATTTTTCCCACTCACTCATTTCATTAAATCTTATTGAACCTTTGCACATGTCTTTGACATGGTCTTTGCTGTCACTGGAGTTACTTTTTGAGTCAAGTAGTGTGATTTCCTGAACTTCCCTGATAATAAGAATGGAAAATCTGACTCAGGAGGTCTGAGATGGGCATTGATGTTTGTTTGTTTGTTTGTTTTAATGTTTTTATTTATTTTTTGGGGGGGGAGGGTCAGATAGAAGGGAGACACAGAATCTGAAGCAGGCTCCAGGCTATGAGCTCTCCTCACAAAGCCTGATGCGGGGCTTGAACTCGTGAACTGAGAGATCATGACCTGAACCAAAGTCGGATGCTTAACCGACTGAGCCACCCAGGTGCTCCTCAAGTATTTTTCCAATGTCTCTTTATGTGCAATCGTTTACCATATTGCTTTTTAAGAGTGATAATTAAAAAAAAATTTTTTTAATGTTTATTTCTGAGAGAGAGAGACAGAGTGTAAGCGGGGGGAGGGACAGAGAGAGAGGGAGACACAAAATCTGAAGCAGGCTCCAGGCTCTGAGTTGTCAGCACAGAGCCCGATGCGGGGCTCGAACTCACAGACAGCAAGATCATGACCTGAGCTGAAGTCGGACGCCCAACCGACTGAGCCACCCAGGTGTCCCAAGAGTGATATTTAAAAAACAAAAAGTGTGGGGCCCCTGGGTGGCTCAGTTGGTTGAGTGACCGACTTCGGCTCAGGTCATGATCTTGCTGTCTGTGAGTTCGAGCCCCGCATCGGGCTCTGTGCTGACAACTCAGAGCCTGGAGCCTGCTTCAAATTCTGTGTCTCCCCCTCTGTCTGCCCCTTCCCTGCTCGTGCTCCGTGTGTCTCTCTCTCAATAAGTAAACGTTAAAAAATTAAAAAAAAAAAAAAGAAAATTAAAAAAAAGTGCTCTTTAAAAGGTTTGTTGAAAATGACGTTGGGCAAACTGTGAGGTCATATCCTCCAGAAATGATTATTGAATCTGGTACATCTCTTTGCTTAACCCCACCCCTCTATTTTTTTTTTTTTTTTAAATTTTTTTTTTTTTCAACGTTTTTATTTATTTTTGGGACAGAGAGAGACAGAGCATGAACGGGGGAGGGGCAGAGAGAGAGGGAGACACAGAATCGGAAACAGGCTCCAGGCTCTGAGCCACCAGCCCAGAGCCCGACGCGGGGCTCGAACTCACGGACCGCGAGATCGTGACCTGGCTGAAGTCGGATGCTTAACCGACTGCGCCACCCAGGTGCCCCCCCACCCCTCTATTTTTAAGAAATGAATTTAGGGAACCTTCCTATAAGCATCCAACATTAGCTTGGTTGAGGTCTGTTTGGGGTCATTTGTCCTCCTCACATAAAAGAATGTACATCTTGCAATACAGGAGACTTTGTAAGAACTAGCATATAAAATGCCCCCTTTCTGAGGGGTCATCTTCGGGGATAAAACCTTACCTTCTGTTCAGGTGCTTTTTGTAATTTTAATCAGATTAGTTATTTAAAGAAATGGCAGAATAACTTTAAAGAGCTGGATTGCAAAGATGTTAATTGCATCTGAGAATGGTTTTAACTTTCAAGTGCACATATACAAAAGTAATGATTCTAGTGTGTCTTAGTGGAAAAAAGGAAAAAAAAAAAAAACTTGTCCAGCTCTAGCAAGACTGCAAGTTTTTATTGTCTACGTTGGTGGAAATTTCCACCATAAGTAAGATGGTTTTTGAAGGATTATTCTCCCTTAGAGATTAACTTGTAGAAAACTTTTTTTTTTTTTAAGTAAACTCTGTGTCCAGTGTGGAGCTTGAACTTGCAACCCTGACATCAAGAGTCACACACTCCACTGACTGAGCCAGACACCCCTGAAAAACCTTTTATGGGAAATTTCAAGCATATTCAAAGTAAATAGATTAGTGTAACAAATCACCCAGTTGCCTGTCACCCACCTTCAGGAGTTCAGATTAAATGTTAAATGTGCTGCAATTTAGGTGATCTTGTATCTTAGAAAATATTATTTTTTAAAAAAGATTTTTTTTTTAATGTTTATTTTTGAGAGAGAGAGAGACAAAGACAGAGACAGAGCATGAGCAGGGGAGGGGCGGAGAGAAAGGAAGACACAGAATCTGAAGCAGGCTCCAGGCTCTGAACTGTCAGCACAGAGCCTGATGCAGGGCTCGAATTTACGAACCGTGAGATTGTAACCTGAGTGGAAGCCAGACACTTAACTGACTGAGCAACCCAGGCACTCCTAGAAAAGGTTCTTGTTTGGATATTTCTGTTACTCAGGAAAGGAGTAGCAAGAAGAAAATCTAAAGTGGGAAAGTATCCTATGGGAAGTTTATAATTCATTAACATTTTTGTGACCAATAAAATGTGACCATTTTGTTTCCTTTTGGAGTGTGGGTAGAGGTATGGAAGATTAGTATCCGCAGTAGAAACAAAAAAAGATTTCTTTTCCATTTTAAGGAGGTAATCAATTTATTCATCAGGCTTCTTTAGAATAAATTTTTTGTTAGGTGATTTGTATTTGCTTATACAAGTATTTTTAGGAAAACACTTTGTAAAGTGTGTTTTGCTGCTCAAGCTGACTGGTCCTGGAGGGTATGGATGGCTTCGTTAACTAAAAGAAACTAGGAACAGTCTTTTTGGCATGAGTTGAGATCTATGTGTTTACTGTATTTCTCAAACCTGATTTGTATAAAAGTGACATGGAGAATTAAATACGGATTCTTTGGGACCCTGTTGAATTAAAATATCTTAGGGTGGGGTAGCCTTAAAAAGCCCCCAGTTGGTTCCAATTTGAAGCTAAGTTCAGGAACCATTGCCCCATTTATTCTACAAATTAATTCATCAAATATTTGTGAGCACGGTATGCTAGGCACTGTTGTAAGTGTTTGGAAGATACGAGTGAAGAAACCAAAAATTCATGACCTTCGGGACTTCTGTTTTAGGCAAAGCTAAATTGATTTAATGTAATGTGATCCACTTAACCATTGCCATGTAGTGGCTGAAACTAAATGTTTTACTTTGCTCTCAGTTTTGTGAGTGAGGAATTCAGAAAGGTCCGGACAAGGCAGGTCTTGCTTGGGGATGGAGGTGGTGGTCTGTCATGTGCTTCTGATGCAGTTCTTGGGAGGCCTGCATTCCGAAAGTTCATCAGGGCTGGACGGGCAAGGTGCTTGCTCATGTGGCTGGCAGTTGATGCTGGCACCTACATGGGACCTCTCTAGTATATGGTCTCCGTGTTCTGGCCTCTTCTATGGTGGCTGGCTTCCCTGGGAGGAGCAAGCTGTCAGAACAGAGGGGAAGCTGTAAGGCTGTTCTGACCTAGCCTTGGAAGTTGTCCAGTGTCCCTCCTGCTGTGCTCTCCTGAGTGTTCTCCTGTGAGTCACTAGGTTGCCTTAGGTTTGAGGGGAAGGGAGGGGTCACAAACCCCACCTCTCGATGGGGAGTAGTGTTAAAAGCATTTGCGGACACATCTTAAACCCACCTTGACTGTGCGGTTTGCATTTGGAATGTATTGGAGACACGTTAGAGATGAGACCTGCTGGGTGCTGCTTTTCTCTAAAATCCCCAGCACACCAGGTGTTCTAGAGAGCAGATTTTCTCCAAAGGGATCATTCAGAAAGGGAGTGCAGGAATAGCATCCCCTTTAGGGATGGTATTCTAAGACTGTGGTCACAGTTGTTTTCCTGAACCTGATATGACTGGTTATAGCTGTAACCTGGCTCACATTCTGGAAATTACAAGGAAACCAGGCAGAAAGTAAGCCAATGCAAAGCCTTCACTGTGGCCAGAAAGACAAGCCAGAGTTTATGTTCTGCTGATGACAGAGTGTGAGAGGCTGTCTTCATTCACACAGGAGGGCTCACCCATTGTTTGTTTTCTTTTCTGCAGCCTAAAGAAAGGGAGGTGGTGATAGAGCGCACCTCTTCAGGAAGTGACTGGTCTGATGTAGATGAAGTCTCCACAGTCCGATTCTCTCAGGAGGAGCCCGGCTCACTGAAACCCTCCACAGTTCCAGAGCCTTCTGCCTTCCCCACTGACTATGTCATGTACCCGGCTCATTTGTACAGTAGTCCGTGGTGTGACTACGTCAGCTATTGGACCAGCAGCCCCAAGCCTTGCGGCTACCCCTCTGTGGGCGCCGGCAGTGACACGCTGCAGGCAGGGCGGAGCAACCGGGGCCTCCTGAGTGATTGTCCCCCTAACTCTGCAGCGACTTCCCAGAATACTTCCAGAGACCAGGAGGCAACAGAGGAAGGCACATCCCAGAACTCCCGTTCATTTCATTTCTCCAGAAGCTCGGAAGAAGAGGTGAAGGAGAAAAGAGCACTCCAGGAGGAGATGGCACCACGTCCCTGCGGAGGCCACGCATCCGGCTCCCTGCCAAGGAGCCATCGGGGGTCAGGCCTAGAAGAGGGTTTCATCGATACCCACTGTCACCTGGACATGCTGTATTCCAAGTTGTCTTTCAAAGGGTCCTTTACCAAGTTCAGAAAAATTTATAGCAGCTCCTTCCCTAAGGAGTTTCAGGGCTGCATCTCTGACTTCTGTGATCCTCGGACACTGACTGATTGCCTGTGGGAGGAGCTCTTGAAAGAGGATCTGGTTTGGGGGGCCTTTGGCTGTCATCCTCATTTTGCACGTTACTACAGTGAGAGTCAAGAAAGAAATCTTTTGCAAGCCTTAAGGCACCCCAAGGCTGTGGCATTTGGGGAAATGGGCTTGGATTACTCGTATAAGTGCACCACGCCTGTCCCAGAACAGCACAAGGTAATGAGGGTCTTTTTAGTTTGCTCACAGTTTTATTTCCTCTGTCAGTTGTTGAAACCCAACAGTAAAGCTTTCTCTGCTCTCGTATCTAGAGAATTCAGAGCCCCTAAAAATGTGATGGCTCTTGTCCAGACCCTCAAGATGTTACTTGTCACATGATTCACCAACTATTTCTTTACACTTGATTGTGTAGGAGAGGGGGATAGGTACTCTGTGACATCTTATGGCATGATATATATATATATGGCAAGACATTTGTTACTCTTTTTGGGAGGCAACCAATTTTGTTCAAACTATATTTTTAATCCGATTCTAAAGTTAAGTATGTTAGCAGCAGAATATTTTGAAAATATAAAAACATGTAAAGAGAATTTCCCATCCTGCCAGAGATGACGACTATTACCCATCTTAGTACTTGCCCCTGTCCAAGTATTTTTTTGAACACAGACATTTGCCAGAGGAAGGGTGGTTCGAGTATTTCAGTGGAAGTTTCTGATTTGGGAAGGAGCAGGACAAGAGGAAAGACCCTCCCACGTTGTCACTGCTCACACTGCCAGGTTGCGTTTGTTGTAGAATTTGTTGTGTGCTGTCTTCGTGCTGATGATGCCTGGTAGGCTGGGTCTGCATGCCCAGTACGTTCCAGGCCTTGGTGAGAGGGCTCGTGGATGCCAGCCTGGGCAGAGTTTAGCAAGCCAGCTTTCCCTTTAGCACTGTCCCCTGCCCGGCTCGGTCAGCCTCTGCCATGCACTGATACTGTGCCCCATTGATACTTCCATCTGTGGTTAACGGTGTGAGTTAAGAGAGGGAATCTTGTAGAGTCAGAGGTTTCTTAGTTTTCCCTTGACCAAAGAGAAAGTTTAGAGAAGGTGTGGTACTCTTCTGCTGAAGGACTCCAGACCTTTATACACCTTTAGGAGAGAGATTCCAATTTGAATACAGTTGTCCATGGCAACCAACTTGCGTGCAAGGCTTAAGAGTTAATTTACATAAGAAACGATTTCAGATGCTCAGATGCTCCTAAAGGATCTCTTTAAAATGAGTTTTCTAGGACCTGCTAAGGTTACTAAATTTGGAACAGGGTGATTTTGACTTGATCTGTTTTCAGACAGGTGGGATTTTATTTGTGCAAATGTTTTCAATTTTTTACTTTAGTGAGTTTCTAGTGTAAATAGTGTTTGTGTTCAGAATTAGGTTTGTCTTATACAAACTTCTTGCGTGTCCACAGTTCTTTTCGCTAATACTAGAAAGCTTGCAGTTCCTGGCTTGTGGCAGTCATAAACTAGTCCAAAGTGAATGGAAGAATAGCTAAATCTGAAGACATAGAAAACAGATTTTTAAGAAAGTGAGGAATATTTAATATTCAGCTTTCCTGGTTTGTTTCCCTGGCTCAATGCAGGTGTGGTATGGAAAGAGGAACAATTGAGAAATGTGTGCACTAAGGCAACTGGAAGGAAGAAGAGTATTGTGTTTAGTTGTATAGCTGGGGTTGATTGAATGCCTACTATGTGCCAAGAAACGTACTAAGTATTTCACAGTAACTTTTCCCTTTATTAAGTTATGGTAACGGGGCACCTGCGTGGCTCAGTTGGTTGAGTGTCCACCTTCAGCTCAGGTCATGATCTCACGGTTCGTGAGTTTGAGCCCAGTGTTGGGCTCTGTGCTGACAACTCAGGGCCTGGAGCCTGCTTTGGATTCTGTGTCTCCCTCTCTCTGCCTCTCTCCTGCTCATACTCTGTCTCTCTGTCTCTCAAAAATAAATAAACATTAAAAAAAAAAGTTACTATGGTATCAGATCTGCACATCGAGGCCCATAGGGCGTGCGTGCCGCTCAACAGACATCTTGAAGGTGTAGCAGAGGGTGATAAAATCCTGTGGATATCATCTGGCTTGGTGAGAGGGGACTCATGACTGCAAAATGGCGATTCAGAGGAAACACATAGCTGGCAGCGGGAGGGGAAGATAAAATATTTCTGTAGCACACTGACGACCACCAGGCTGGACGGAGGAAGTGGATGCCTTGTTCTTGATGTAAATCTACACTCAGGCACCAAAGTGAGAAGTGGTGGGACCTAACAGCTACAATAGGTAGATGTCTGCACGGAGTTGGATTTACCTAAAAGCAGAGTGGTTGACAAGTTCTTGATGAATATTTTACCTTATGAAGGGAAGAAGATAAGCTGATGGAAGAAACCGTATCTGGCTAAGTGATAGGGTGCCAGCTCTGGTTGGTTATTAGAGCTTGGTTTCTGTTACCTAGTATTTTCTGGAAGGATTGGGAAACAGAGGAAAGCAGAAGAATTGGGGGAAAATTCAATAGTTACCCTGCTACTCAGAGTGAACCACTGTAACTTTTTCCTTGCTTATCTGTGTGTTCGTAGATTTAACTGCCTATTTGACTCCTAAGAGTTAGTTCCTGGATAGTTCAGGTACGAGTTGCACACATCAGCTAGCATGACTATCAGAATCTCTTGGTATCTGGTTTCAAAAGACAGGGAGAGTGGGCTGGCCTTCCCTACCTGGGCTGTCTGATCCAGGCGGTTTTTGCCTCTAGTTGTGTTTGACTGAAATTAATTACTGGGGAATTGAGTATGCAAGAGCTGCCTGGGCCACCCCTAGGAGAGACTGATTGACTCAGGAATTCCTGGAAATAATGGATCCGTGGGAGAACCAGAGCTCGTACAGGCAGAAGAAGAGTAATTATGCCGGGTCAGTAGCTTCCCCTCGCTTGATTCCCTACTGGTGTTTGTCAGCTGGATTCTTGGTGATGACAAATGCTCTAGGTAGCTCCAACCCAGCCACAGGGTCCTGCCTTCTAACACGTCTTCTCCCATCTGCCTGTTTTTGAAATTTGGATGTTTTACAAAATGTTGTATTTTTAGTATTATTGTCCCTTGTAGAATTGCAAGGAACAAATGGCATGTCTAACAAGAACCTGTCATAGAATCATATGTCCATGCTTTTTAAAAAAGAAGTTACAGGGGCGCCTGGGTGGCGCAGTCGGTTAAGCGTCCGACTTCAGCCAGGTCACGATCTCGCGGTCCGTGAGTTCGAGCCCCGCGTCAGGCTCTGGGCGGATGGCTCAGAGCCTGGAGCCTGTTTCCGATTCTGTGTCTCCCTCTCTCTCTGCCCCTCCCCCGTTCATGCTCTGTCTCTCTCTGTCCCAAAAATAAATAAACGTTGAAAAAAAAAAATTTTTTTTTTAAAAAAGAAGTTAGGAAACAAAAATTAGTTTTGAATGTTTTTTCCACTTCTGAAAAGGTTCTGGTTTCAAATATATTTTGAAAAAAATAGGCTTTTTATAACAGCTTTGTAGTATTCTATCCTAAGGCTATAGTTTGCCCTTATGAACAATTTTTTAGAAGCAGGAATTAAGCCTTGGAAATTGAATCTCTTGTGACCTCCAGCTTCTGGAGGGACCCAAGGAGGGCAGCTGTGTTGGGGAGGGGATCCAGCGAGCTGTAGATACAGGGCTAGACCGTCTTTGAAGACTCTACCAAGCATTCTAAGATTTTGGTGTCTGTGGTCATTTTCCTTTTGTTGAAAACACAGGTTAAACAAGAATGACATCAGAATTGGTATTGGTTCACTGTCACTGTTAGAAGAGGAAGCCCAAGCGTTGGACTTGAAGATGTCATTCTCAAGTGAATATTACAGGACTTAAATTACCAATAGTAGTTTTTTGATGTTAAAAATGCAAACATGAATTCTGTTCGACTGTTTAAAAAAAAAACAAAACTCATGGAAACATTCTTTTAGATGAGGTCATTTGTTTATAATGAATTAATACTCGTGTTCTTCTAAAGCTGAACCTGTTAGAGGAAAGGATAAGTTCTAGCCCCTTTTTTATTTAAATTCTTAACAATATGTGTATTTTACTAGTGATTTAAAAGTGGCTAGAGTTTGTTGTTGTTTTTTAAAGGTTAAAAAAATGAAAGGTAGTGTATCAGTAGGTATTCACCTAGAAGGATATCTGATTTTGGTTGAGTAAAGAAAGTGAGTTGGAGAAAATAGGTAGTTTATTCTTTCAAATACTTGAGCACCTTTTGAGATCCACACCTTGTGCGGGTGTGTGTGTGTGTGTATGCACGTACAACTTTGGAACTTGCGTGGAAGGGGATTACCTCTTGGGGGTAGGCGTAGAGATGGGTACGGTGAGGGGAAGGACATTTAACTTGATGTCCCTGAGCCCTGCCCTGCCCCTGCAACCCCACATAAGCATTGCATGGTGGTTGCTCTGTGGAGTGCCAGGGTTTAGATGTGGATTGTGGTGCTCCAGCTTCCAGTTGCGGATCCCTTGCCCTCTCTTGGAACCTCCTCTTCTTCAACTGCATGACAGGCCAACAACAGTACCTTACCTTAGGGTGCTTGCGAGAATCACAGGAATACACCTAAAGAGTATTTAGGAATACACCTAAAGAGCTCTGAGCTCTACCTGTGAGTCAGCACCCAGTAAGCGTTAGCTGTTATTATAATACATTATGTAGTCTGCAGAATTGGGGACGATGGAGGTGCTCACTGCTCTGGGTGTTGTGGAGGTAACAGGCTTCTGGAGTGGCTCTGACCCACAGGTGTCCCTGTGCCTTCTCCCAGGTGTTTGAGAGACAGCTGCAGCTGGCCGTATCTCTGAAGAAGCCCTTGGTGATCCACTGCCGAGAAGCTGACGAAGATCTGCTGAACATCATGAAAAAATTTGTGCCCTCAGACTACAAGATCCATAGGTTAGAAGGCTGGAGCTTCGGTGGGCAAATGAGAGGAACACTTCTTTCTGTGTAGGATATTAGTTGGAAAAAGGAAAACTCACTGAGGAGAGGATGATCCTATCAGGTCTTTGTGACATAGTATCCCTTCTAAAGATGAAGTATTAGATTCAATCATGTGAGATTTCCGATATTTGACCATTTTTCACTTACACAATGGCAATTTCATATGGTTTGAACTAATATCCTAAATCACCTCTGAGCAACAAAGGGGCTTTCGTGACCCCGGTCCCTGGTGGCAGGCTACAGTGGAGTCTGAGCTCTCAGAGATGAAGGCCCTACATCTGGGGAGAGATCACTGTGTTGTCCAGTGACTTAGCAAATAGAGATCATTCCAGGGCACCAAAAAAGAAATTCTTTCCTTTTTTGAATTTGAAAGTTCATTTTCTAGCCATTGAATTTCACTATGCATTTAATCTGAATTGTATCTAGGGGCTCAGTGTGGTAAACTCTTGATCTCCTACCTGGGAGATCAATGCCTACCTGTCCTAGGCATTTGGCTCGGGGTCCCTGGGAGCAGCTGTGGAGGCTGGCAAGTGACTTCCGCAGAGAGTAGGGCTGAGTCGCGCATAAGGTGCTGTGGGAGCCAGAAGAGGGGCTGTTAGCTTAGTTTTGCTAGAAAGGGGCCAGGAGGTAATGCCTGGGCTGGCTCTTTCAAGATGGGTGAGATGGGTTAACTGAAAAAACGGAGCCTAGAACCCAAACCAGGTGTTGACAGGCAGCAGAAGGCAGTGGATTATCAGGCTAGACCGCCGCCTTTCAGGTGCCCAAGTGGAGAGGGCGACCTCTCTGATTGTTGTAGCACACACCAGAGATGAGGCACCGTCCCTCAGCCCTTTTGGGTGGGTTGGTTGGCTTCTCATGGCTTTGTTTGGGGATGGCTTTGAAGGAAGTCTAATGGGGGACAGGTAAACCAGGGCCAAGACGGCTCAGCGAGGTGTTGTGGCTGGAGGAAGCCCTGAATTTTCCGATTGGTTAACAATATAACAGTGCCTTAAGAACATGAATGGATAACACATTCAGAGAAAATTGACCTGTAGTCCCACTCTCTGATATCTTCATTTTTTTGTTTGCTTCCAGTTCATTTGGCTGCAGAGACATAGTTTTTTACCTATTGTAACTGTAATCTTGGAGGGGCTGCAGGTTTTAAGTCTGTTTCTCTTCTCGTGTTACAAGCGCACCCTGTCCCTACATTGCTGCTGGATATTCCCTGTGGTGGCCACTTCGAGTGGCTGCGTGGGATTGGGCGCAGTGATGGGCTAACTGCTGAGCTTTGATCGCTGAGAGTCACCGTGGGTCTTACCTTGTTGGAACCATGGTGTTCCCGTCTGGCTACCGTGGAGTCCTTCTCTTGGATGAAATCTTTGTGTTTCTGGGAATTTGTCCACACAAAATCATTTGAAAGGGCCACTGTGTCTTGGGGGCAGTTGGGGGCTGTTGCAAAGGGGGCTGTGAGAGGGGCCCTGATCTGGAAACCCTCCCCTCCCCCCCACCAGGCACTGCTTCACTGGCAGCTACCCAGTCATCGAGCCTCTGCTGAAGCACTTCCCCAACATGTCTGTGGGCTTCACAGCAGTCCTGACTTACTCCTCGGCCTGGGAGGCCCGGGAAGCTCTGAAGCAGATCCCGCTGGAGAGAATCATTGTGGAAACGGACGCTCCCTACTTCCTGCCCCGACAGGTAGGGGTGGGTCATCAGGCTGAGTTGAGGCGGGGATGGGGGGAGGGGGGCGGTCACCTTTGCAAGGTTGGCAGGCCCAGAGCCCCAGTGACTTCCAGGTTTCACCCTTGGCTGTGTAGATGTCTCCTTGTTGTTCTCTGCAGAACCAAAAGTCTAGGGGGCTGAGAAGCTGAAGGGTAACCACTCTCTTCCAGGCAGTGCAAAGCCCTACCCTGTAGAGGGTAGTCCAAGGAAGCGTGGGACCCTGCTCACCCAGAGCCCCCCATGACTAGGACTCTCCCTGCACCTGCAGGTAAAGGGGTCTCTACAGGGCAGCCCCAAAGAGGTCCTTGCTGGGGAAGGGACGGGGAGGGGGATCTGTGTAATGACTGTGCACAGAAGGCACAATGATGTTCTGAATGCTTGATGTCTTCCAGGTTCCCAAAAGCCTCTGCCAGTATGCCCACCCAGGCCTGGCCTTGCATACGGTCCGAGAGATTGCGAGGGTCAAAGATCAGCCGCTCTCCCACACCTTGGCCATCCTGCGTGAGAACACCAGCCGCCTCTACAATCTTTAAGCAGAGAGGGTGCAGTCAGGAGAAAAAGGTCAGACTAGAAAAGGTCATCAAGATCACGTTACATGTTTTTTAAAAATCAGGACAAAAATTGGTTTCTCTGCATCTTCTTACTGGAGAGAATGTAGAACATAGGGTGAGCATTTAGCCTGATCTGTCTTGAGTGAACTTGGTTTGGGACCTTCTTCCTTTTCTCTCCCCACCCCTCCAGGACAACCAGTGGCCTGACAGAAGATGGGCTGGTTTGCTCTCTGCCTGTATGTCCCAGGTCAGGGATGTGTCTGAAGAGAGCCCCTTGGAACGGAGGAAACCAGGACAGGATGTTTGCCTCGAAGCCCCGTCCTAAAGCTCTACTTCCGGCTCGGGGGTGGGGTGGGGAGCAGCGTGGAGCAAAGGCGTGGGTAGGGTCTACCTCCTGGGGCAGTCAGTGACGCAGGAAGGGGCTGAGAGGAGGGCGCAGTGAGTTCGCCACTCCAAGTCCTGGTGCTCTGCAGCCTACGACGTTGAGCAGTCTTCACAGACCCTCTCCTACTCGTCTGAGCACCTGTGTGTGTGTAACTCCGCTCCTGGGTCTCCGATCTAAAGATGAACTCCCAAGTGGGAAACCTCCTCTGGGGGACGTTAACTGGAGCCTTGTCTCGGAGGTTTATGGTCCTTCAACCGAGAAGTCCTCCCCTTCTTTCCCTGGATAATGCTTCTGTTTGGCTGTCCCCGTTGCTGCCTCAGCTCTGCTTCAGCATGAGTGGAAGACCTTGGCTGCTTGTCTCACTGGTTCTTCTGCCATTGGTCTGGAGGGGCGGGGGACACTCACTGTCCGGGGGATGTCCTGGCCAATGGGGATCTGGACAGACTGGGGGACTCCAGGAGGAGGCCTTTGGGAGGAAGAGGACCCCTGAGAAGGTGTTTCTGCTTACCGATGCCCCCAGGGCTACGGCTCGGTTGTGTTCATCTGGTAAGGGTTCAGTTTGCAGCAGATGCGACCTGCTAGTCTGCTGTTGGGACGTCCCACCTGCCTGTTGCTCCATTTTTGCCCCATTCTCCTGGAACACTGGACCAAGAATACTTCTGTTTCATCCCATGTAACAGCCCCTTATGTGCCCCACCTGGCTTGAGAGGTAAACCAGTTTAATTCTTCAGAACTCTGTTGGGGCTGCTCAGCCATGGTGTTGCTTATGCTGCACATGATCTTAGCCAAAAGGCCGAGAAGCGATGGTGTTGCTTATGCCGAACAAACAGGCCTGGTGTCTCTGCCTTTCAGTCCCCTCCCAGGGCTCTTTCTCCCTTGCCTTTGCCTCATCTGTGTCCTTTCTCCCATGTTGGAAGTGAGCGCCTCTCCTTTGACTTTTGAGAGGCTGGGTCGTCAGGTTCTAAGCTGTGCTCTGCTCCCTGCCTGGTATATCTGTTACAGGCCCTGGAAGGTTCTAATGGTTGAGGGTTAAGTGTGAGGACACTCTGCACTTTGTCCAAAAGGATCCTTTACCCCGATCTCCCACAGTGAGACGGGACACCTTCAGTCCCTTGTCTGTTTCTTGGAGGCCGGTAGCTTAATTCGTGAAATCCATCACTTAATGCTGGATTTCTCTAGGGGTTTTTGGAAGGTGCATTTGAGCCTCATAAGCTGAAAGGGAATGGACTTAACATTTCATAGCTGGTGTTTCTGTCTTGGCCTGGTGCACGTGTCACTGGCCTGGGAAGCAGGCCTTGATTCACTGTTGGCCTTCCATGGCTCGGCTGTGTGGCATTGTCTGTGCCTCCAGTTTGCCAATGCGGGGAATCGGGGGCTTGCTCTCCCGCTTGGAGGACTAAGTATTTCAGAGCGCTCTGTTGTCCCGCAAGTGAACTGCAGCCTGTACACCTCCTTTACAACAAGCCCTGTCAGTCAATACTCGCTGCGCTGGAAGCGGAGTGGTCCTGTGCTAGAGGGCTAAAAGTGATGACTAAGTGGATGTCTCTGAGCCTGTGCAGTCTCCCTGCCAAGGTAAAGCACAAGGTGCTATGTACTCTCATCTCTAGGACTTAAGATGATCATTTCTGTGCTGTTACACAGTGGAACATGACTTGTGTGGGCGGTGAAAGCTGGTGGGCATTGTTTTTGACTTGATGGCTGACTTGATTGTTTTTGCTGTGCTGCCGGAATGCCTCTGTATGTCCCCCCACCCCCTGCCCCTTTTGGCCATCTCTTTCTGAAAATAAAGTGATGGGTCTTTAGCCAGCTCCCGTGCCCTCTGTGGTTGGTTACACTTCTCAGAGTGATAACAATCAAGTTGTTGGCCAGCCTTGTAACCTGAGAATCCAAAGTTGGGGAGAAATTCTCAGGTATACATGTTATGTCTCTGCAAAATGAAACTGGTAATAAGAATACCTGGTACCTTCCTTCTTCAGAGTTCTGCTGCCCTCGAACATTAACCCATTTTACTGCCTGGGAATTCCGATGTACTGCTGCTTAGCAGTACACAGATCTTTGCTTTTCCTTTCTCCCCCCAGAGCACTGCAGTAGGAGAAACGGAGTACACAAGGGTAGTGTTGACAGATCTGTTGTAGTGAGGCGAGTCTTTGGACTATGGCCTCCTCTGATGCCTCTGGGCAAACTTGGGAGGAAATTCTGTGTCACTACTTTCAGTCGGTCCTCTAATTTTGTGCCAAGGTATTACTGAACACAAGTGCACAAGCCAGAAGTAAGCCTGTAAAAAGGAAGGCTGTGTTCCAAGAATGCTACAGATGCCTGTGCTGATTTGACGCCTGTGCTGATGCCTCGTTCGAGACACGGTCATCGATGATGCATCTTCAGCATATAATTCCATCACTTTGTCTCCTCCGTTCCTTCCCAGGAGAGCACACGGTTGATGGCATCTGCTCAGGGGTAGTCCTATTTGTGGCTAGAAATCTGCTCTCGGCTCTTGTGGTGCTTCCATCTTTTCCTCTGTATTAAGTTTGGGACCAATTACCAATTGTTTACCGTCAGCACGTTCACGTTTGCATCAGTTTTATAAAATAAGGGCAAATGGCCACTGAGCTACATAGTGATGGAACAGACTGCATCAAACAGAGATGGCCGAAGTGTTGGTCAGTGGCCAGCCAGCCCCTGGATCACAGTGAGCGCTCATTCGTCAGTGATGGTTGGGGGCGTATCCAGATTAAAGAAGGTAACTAAGTGTGGGTCTTCATTCTTATGTTTGCACGCTGTCAGATGAATGTCTGAGCACACACCTATAAGTGTATAGTAAGTTAAATACATGTTACTGTACTAAGGTAGCAGGTATATTATAAAAAGTTTTTTTTTTTTATGCTCCAAAACCAAAGTTTTTTATAAGGAGGATTTTTCTCCCCCAGCAAATATGTCGCTTCCCCCAGGGATAAATACATGCTCTTTCAGAGAAACTTAAGCTAGTGGCATCATTAAATGATGCATGGAGGCATGGGTTTAAGAAAGCTGACCTAGTCATAATCTCACAGTTTGTGAGTTTGAGCCCAGCATCGGTCTCTGCAGTGATGGTGCGGAGCCTCACTGGGAAATCTGTGTCTCCTCTCTAGCCCCTCCCCTGTTTGTGCGCGCTCGCTCTCTCAAAATAAACATTAAAATATTTTTTAAAAGGCTGACCTAGGACCATTTTGGAAATGCTACATTTTCTCAAGTGTTTCCTCTGCTAAATTTTATTTGTCAGTTGTTGACTTGAAATTGTCCTCACCCCACTTCGATGTATTATGAAGGGAAATGAAAAACAAAAGAAGCCCCTTGGATCATAGGCAGTCAGGCAAGGGAAGCAGTGACTAAAGATAAACCCAGGTACCATAGCTCTGGATAGGAGTCAGCAACAGATTTGCAGGTTGACTTTGGAAAGTTACTAACTTCTCTGAACTTCTGTTTTCTCCCTCTTAAGTGGGCTTGTGCAAGTTAACTGCGACTACGTTGAGTACATGTAAGTTCATAGAACAATGCCTGGTAAACAGCAGGCATGCAGTAAATGGTGATGGTTTGAATAAATGAATGCCTGCTATGTGCCTGGTGTCCGTGTGGGGGATACTATGTTCAGTCTTGATAGTGACCCAGGGAAATAGGTGTTTTACATGCGATGAGCCTGAGAAATTCATTGTCTTGGTCTGGATCATACCTCTGGGATTCAAATTTGGGTCAGGCTGAAGGTCCTAGCTTTGCATCACATCATGCTCCCTGGCCCAGGAGTGAGAGTACTTGTTCCACAGTGGGTGCTCAGCATCTATTTCTTTTCTTTTTCTTTTCTTTTTGTCATTCACTCAATTTATTTTTTTTTATTCTCAAGTTAGCTAACATACAGTGTGGTCTTGGCTTCAGGAGTAGATTCCCGTAATTCATCACTTCAGCATAACACCCAGTGCTCATCCAACAAGTGTCCTCTGTAATGTCCACTCCCATACCCCCCAGCATGTGTTTCTTCCACAAATCACCTAGGTAAGTGGGAGAGTGCTTGTGAGTCCTTTGCAAGAGGAGTAAGCCCTTGTTTTTGTTTTGGAAGCATCAGGTGACCGTATTCCCCTCATGGCCTGACACCCATGCTGCCTTGAGCTCAATCCATGCATGCTTCTTGGGTTGCCAGCTGCCTTCCTAGACCACTTTGACCATGTGTGAGCCTTGGATCCTCCTCTGGCTATTGAGAAGAGGGCTGACAGTGAAGAAAACAGTCAGCAAAACTAAAAGGCAGCCGACGGAAGGGGAGAAGATACTTGCAAATGACGTATTAGATAAAGGATTAGTATCCAAAATCTATAAAGACCTTATCAAACTCAACACCCCCAAAAAACCAAATAATCCAGTGACAAAGTAGGCAGAAGACATGAATAGACACTTTTCCAAAGAAGACATCCAGATGGCTAACAGACACATGAGAAGATGCTCAACATCACTCATCAGGGAAATACAAATCAAAAGCACAATGAGATACCACCTTACAGCTGTCAGAATGGCTAACATGAACAACTCAAGCAATAACGGATGTTGGTGAGAATGTGGAGAAAGGGGAACCCTTTTACACTGCTGGTGGGAATGCAAACTGGTGCAGCCACTCTGGAAAAAGTATGGAGGTTCCTCAAAAAATTAAAAACAGAACTATCCTACAACCCAGCAATTGCACTATTTATCCAAAGGATACCAAAATGCTGATTCGAAGGGGTACGTACACCCCAATGTTTATAGCAGCACTGTCGACAATAGCCAAAGTATGGAAAGAACCCAAATGTCCATTGACAGATGAATGGATAAAGATGTGGTATATATATTTAAATTTTTTTTTTCAACTTTTTATTTATTTTTGGGACAGAGAGAGACAGAGCATGAACGGGGGAGGGGCAGAGAGAGAGGGAGACACAGAATCGGAAACAGGCTCCAGGCTCCGAGCCATCCGCCCAGAGCCTGATGCGGGGCTCGAACTCACGGACCGCAAGATCGTGACCTGGCTGAAGTCGGACGCTTAACCGACTGTGCCACCCAGGCGCCCCTGTGGTATATATATTTAATGGAATATTACTCAGTGATGAAAAAGAATGAAATCTTGCTATTCCCAACAACATGGATAGAACTAGAGTGTATTATGCTAAGCAAAATTAAGTCAGAAAAAGACAAATATCCCATGATTTTGCTCATGTGGAATTTAAGATACGAAACATGAACATAAGGGAAGGGAAGCAAAAATAATATAAAAACAGGGAAACAAACTGTAAGAGACTGCCAAGTACAGAGAACAAACTGAGGGTTGTTGGTGGGGTGTGGGGTGGGGGGGGGGAAGAGCTAAAGGGGTGATGGGCATTAAGGAGGACACTGGGTGTTATATGTAAGTGACTCACTTCTAGGAAGAAGAAAAAAAGGGCCGTGGGCCTGGTTAGTGATGATCAGAGTTGCACCCCTACTAAATTATAGAGCTTAAGGATGTGGCTAATCTCCAGGATAGTGTGCTAGTCTCTACATCAGTGCCTAGGGGGTGGCCATCTGGAGGCTGAGGAAGGTCATTTCCCTGCATTTCTACTGCCTTTCTCCCTCTTCCCTCTCTTCTCCCACTGTGTTCACCAGTACCTTAACTTCTTTATATGGTGAATAATGCTTTTCAATCTTACTACTGAGGTTTAGAGGTAGATGCTTTCAGAAGCAAGGATTTGGTGTGCAAAGTGCCCATGTAGTCATATAGTCAGCGTCTAGACCTCTGGGAGACGCAAGTATGTGTGTGTGGTAGGCATAAGGGATGGACATGACGGCAAGCCTGGGGCTAGAGAAATGGGAGGAGGTAAGTGAGCATGATGTTTTCTCAGTTCTGTTGAGGATATCACCTGGCCAGGTGTGAATTTTCAGAAGTTTTATATGAGATTTTATATGAGAATCGACACCAGTTTGTGCTGGGTGGGTGATCTGGTTCTACTGTGTGCTGTCCTGCCTGAATTGAATAGGATCCAGTTGTCTCTCAGCCCCTTTAAATAAGCTGTTTATTAGCCCAAGGATCTTGTTAAAATACAGATCCTGGTACAGTTGGGTCAAGATTCTGCATTTCTAAGAGGTTCTCAGATGATGGTGATGTTCCAGGGTGCACGTGGTGTTCGTTGCTGAGGGTGGCAGTTGGATTTCAGTGTGCCTGCCAAGTGTGATCAGTGGTTAGTGCCAGTGGGGCTGTGCCTTCAGTGCCAGGCGATGATAGTTTTACTCGAGAAGATACGTGGCTCCTCCAGCACCCTGATAAAGGCTTTTCTGGGCTCTGCATGTTACCCCAACTCTGTGCAGAGGGTCGGCCTACATGTTTCTAATAGGTATTGGCAGGGCTTATATTTGGAGCCTCCTTGTTCTTTACCTTTTTCTCTCCTTAGTGATTCACCCATCATCTGTCATCACCAGCTCTTCAAAGACAGTTCACACGTTTTACGTGGAAGTTTAAATCACTGATAACTGACATTCCTCCCGAGAAGGCTGGTATCTTTGGTGGAACTAAGTTGTGGAACTTAAGGATCAAGTCTCAATTCAGCTGTGAGCTGGAATTGAAAGTGTTTAGGAACACCTGCCTGGTATCAGTGAAGTACTCCGAGGCAGTGCCCAGCCTGGCCTACATGAGGTGGCATCTGCTTTGCCGTGTCTTTTTGGGAGAGGACAGGGAGGAAGGAGAAATGGTTATTTCAGCCCTGTCTAGCAGTGGCTAGTAGCCGTTGTAACCACCCCAATTATGTATAACTTCATACTCATGCCTTCACATTCCCAGGATCCTGTTCTGATCTTGGATGTCACTTCAGTGGATGTTGGCTCTGATAATGTCACCTGAAGTTTCCTGGTCCCCCATCCTTGCTGATTGCTAAATAGCTCTCATTGTAACTTCACTGTGCTCAGGAAGCTGTGGTATTTTAAAAAAAACAGTCTGTCTTCTGTTCCCTCCCTTTCTCCCTCCCCTCCCTCTCTTGGTTTCCTAAGTATGTACACCTGCCTTACTACCTATCTCTCCTTGCTCTTTGTACTGACCATAGATGAAAAAAAAAATTTTTTTTTCAATGAAATGTGAAGTTTTCCTCTGGTGAAATAAATTTCCATTTTGAACGTTCGGCATACAGCATGAATGTTTATTCACTTCTTAAGCTAGTACCACTCAGAACTGGGTGTTGTTGCAGAAACAGTTTAAAAGCCAGGTGGGCGCTGTCAGGTTGGGAGGAAAGCAAGTGGGTCGTTCTAGTGGATGATCACTCATCTGCCAGGACCTCTGAAAAGGAAAAGGTCAAAATTCAGTGTCCACTGTCCTGCCAGTGCCATCATAGATGGCTTTTCTTCCACAATGGCGATGTCGGAGGTAGTGTGTTGTAATGCGGGGAGGAGGCATTGGCCTTGGCGTGTGGACTGTGTGAGTTGATCTTGTCACCTAAAAGCCAAGCCTCGGTTTCCTTCTCTGCACCCCCCAGGTAAGTGCCATGCTCCCTGCCTACCTCATGTGGTTGGTGGGGGTACAGGGTGACACCGTGTTAGTTAGGGAAGTGCTTTGCAGGTTGTAATGTGCTTCCAAAGGCAGGTGTTGGCCCCCGTGACCAGGAACAAATGAATGGTTTGTTTTTATAAGCCAAGAAGGGATTCAGAACAAAAGCAAGAAATCTTTGCTTCACTGGCTGCAGAAGAGCCTATTTTGATGATAGCACTAATTCCTTTTGTTCACGAGGTGAAGTTATATAATAAAGGTTATGCACTCACAGTTGAGTGTTAGCTGCATTTTATGGTTAGGATATTGGGGTTCCCTGGGCCCCAAAGTTAGTGTGCTAGTTCTTGGAACATAGCGAGCGTGCTCTTGAAATACAAAGACTGTGTTCACCTCTCTTCTGAGCCATTTGGAAATCCCAGCCCAGTCTGCTCTCCTGCAGACATTTGGGAAGGAAGAATTAGAAGCTCTTTGCGAGGCAGTGGTAGGGGAAGAAAACTTCTCTTGTGTCACCCATAGGCTGAGCTCCATTTGGGACTCCATGGAGACTGAAGTGACCTGACTGGGGCAATGACTTACCCTCGGCCTCTTCCCAAAGGACGTCCTGAAGAAACTTCCCCAGTGCCTGGCCATGCTGGTGGTACTGAGCCCCTGACAGCTTGATTCCAACATCAAAAGGGGCGTTGAACTAGGAGGAGGGGTGGGGAAGACCCAGGAAGTGTCAGAGGTCACACCCTCCCACCTCTGCCCCAAACACACAGGCCTCCCAAAGGATTTCCTGGGCTCTCCGGGTCTCATCACAGGGACAGGGAGGGAGGAGGGTGTGCGGGCCCAGCAGGTGCCAGTGAGAGGCTGCTCAGCCAGATTACTCACCTTCTTAGGCCTGTTCTTCCCGCCCCTGCCATCTTCAGGAGACTTACCTTGTACTCTTTGCTTACCTCTAGTGAGGTTGCTCATAAAAGCTATGGGGTTCCCGAGATTGCTCCCACTCCCCCTTGTAATTTTGGAAGACCTAAGTTTGAGGTTGCCAGTGGTAGAATTTCAGACTCCAGTAGGGAGACCGGGAGGACAGTGGGTCTTGCCAGTGTCCTAGCAGTAGCCCGGGTGGTGGTCTCTGCCCCTCATCTGCCCCCACCTTCTCTCCCAGCCATTCTTCCTCTCCTGGGCACAGGTCTTTCCTTGTTCCATGGGAAGTTAGACAAGAAGCTGACCTTTGCCTGGAAAGATGCTCTGAGCCAAGTGCCCCCTTCTTTTTGTGCCTCTGTCTCTTCCCTTCTGCAGGGGAGCACCCTATTTTCCCAGCTCTGTCAGCACTCTAGCAAATGATTTATTGAAGCTCAGCTTTGGGTAAATGGGGAAGAGCTCTGTTTGCAGCCACATCATGGATTCCCCTACTTAAGAGCAGACTGTATCGTTATCTCTGTTCCTCTAGTAGCTGCCTTGGTACCTGGCAACCTGCATGCTGGTCACCGAGATGTCTGAACAAGTCACTGAGGGGATCCTGGTGGTGGGAGGGAGCCTTTGGTCATTGGTCCTTCTGCCACCTGCCCTGGAGCCTTGTCCGGTCCAGGGCTGCAGTGACACCCAGCGTGGAGCCCCCTTGTCTTCGCCAGGCTGGCCCAAGGCCTTGCCTCCGCGCCGGGTGCAGTCCTCCGGGCCTCTCTGCCAGCAGGTACTGCCGTCATTCTCATTTCACACATGAGCAGACGTGCTCCAAGAGGTTGTGAGAAAAACAAATAGCTGCTTGTTGAAAAAACTGACCTTCCTTGTCTCCACTGTGAAGGTGGAGAGAATGGGGAAGGACATGATTGATATTTTAGGAAACTTTGGCCCGTCTGTTCTCTCCCATGGGCAATTATTTCTTTCTCTTCCATCCTGTGGCTGACAGGTGACCTGAACAGACTTCTTGGGAACCACATGAGCATGGGTCTGGGGGCCTGCTGGCTGGCAGGGCACCCGGAACTGGGCGGCCACATGGCAACTGCTAATGGGGAGGTTTGCTTCTGGTGACTTGAAAAGGTCCATTTGGCCTCAGTGCCTCATGAGTTCTGTCAGGGATGGGGGGCGCCGGGGGAAAGGACAGGACTTGGTCTCAAAAGTCTTACGACTCTGAAAGTCGATTCCGGGAGGAACGTGTCTGGGGGACGGTGGGGGCCCGGGATGGGACAGGTGGAGCCCCAGTGCAGGAGGGGCTCAGGCAGTAGGTCCAGAGCCCTGCAGCCAGGGATGCAGGCCTCCCCACCTCTGTCAGCTCCAGATTTCAGGTTCTAGTTGAGGCAGCACAGTCCACCTCTTCCAAGGCCAGCCTTTGTGGGAACTGGAAACTTCTGGTCATCCCATCTCTGCCTTGAGTCATCAAGCCACTGAAACCTCTTCCCTGTCTGGGCAAACTGAGCATTAGCCCGACTGGGGTGAGTGTCAGTCACAGGGGCTGCTGGTCTCACCAGGAAATTCCCCAGTTTGAGGATTTGTAGGAATCGAATGGGGCTCTCACATGTGGTGTGGAGGAGGCACCTGAGAGCACCCCTTGGTTCTGCTGAGGGTTTGAGAGCAGGGGTTGGGAGCTCATCCTTTTTTGCTAGAAGAAGCTGGCGGGAGGGAGGGAGGCCAAGGCAGGACACACTCCAGCTTCTCGGGCCAGAAGAGACCGGGGAAGGGCGTTCTTGGGCCACTGTGCATGCTCCGTTTGCCAGACCAGTGAGGGGAAGGGGGGCTTGGGAGCTGGAGTCAGCCGTGACTGCAGGTCCCGCCTCTGCCACACACTGGCTGTGGTGTGTCAGGCACGTGTGCTCACCTGTCTGAACTTCTTTTCCTCGTCTCTACCACAAGGGCAATAATGTCAGCCCTACTTACCTCACAGGTTGTTGTAGAGATTAAATGGTGTGCGATAAGGGAAAGACAGTTTGCAGATGAGATCCCGGTCAATAGACACAAGCAGTGCGATAATTAAGGACTCCCCCAGGGGAATTCTGGTTCCACTGCATGGAGGCGTCTGTCATCCGAATGCTTGTCAGAACCATCGCCTTAACCACAGCCAGCCTTTCAGGAAAGTTGCATGGAGAACCCCTACAAAATCCCTTTACTCCCTCTCTGTCCTCATGTTCTCTTTATTTCGAAGCTTGCTCCTCACCTCGGGCAGGATTTGTCGGAGCCTCGATAAGCCCCACCGATCCTGTCGTTGTCTACAGACGGGGGTTGGTGAGGGGCCACCAGAGATGGGCTGGCCAAGAAAGGCTGGAGAGGCCCAGAGGCCACGAGTTTTCTGTGGGGAAATGCCTTCAGTCCATGACCAGCCGACTCTCGCTGGCTGGCTGTCTTGGCAACATGCGTGCTGGCCCCCTTTGAAATCATCTGGTGTCAGCTAGCACCCCTGCTGTTCTGCTCATGGCTCCGGTCCTGTCCCGTTTTGTTGTAGCAAAGTCCTTTCTCTTAGACATCTGCCTCCTGATGGGAAAAGACCTGGAGCCAGTTCAGGGTCAACTGTTTTGTGCTATTTTACATTTCTTAAGTAGTCGGTAGGTGGATCCCTGTTCATAGCCTGCCCTCCTCCTCCCTCCTCCCGTCCACTGCCACAAAAGCATAAAACTGCAGAGGAACCAACCCGGATTTCTAGTTCATCCTCTGCCCCTTCCACTTGACTTGTGTCTTCTGGGTGGATCAAGCCTTCTAGAGCTCGGGGCTGCAGTTTGGCTGGTGGCTTCTTGGATTCCTTTCTCTGCTGGAAAGAGGTATTCTCTTTTTAGGGCCCCAACCCTCTCCCTCTCCCCAGTATACTTCTGGAAGCAGAGTGAGGTGTGAACCTATGGTCAGACCCAGATTCCTCCTTTGTGCTCTTGGAGATAGCTGAAGCCCAGAGAGTTTGAGCCACTGCCCAGGTCACACAGCTGGCAGCTACATGGCAAGGCTGGGATGAGATACCCCAATTCGAATGTGGGGCTTTGTGGGGAGACATCTTACCTGTACTTTCTGGTGTTCGGGGCTCAGGAAGCTGGAGCCTGCCATGGCCAAGTCTGCCCACAGCACGCTGAAGAGCAGCAGGCTGCACACGGTCCCCGGGGAGGGCATGGTGTCAGGTGGGCCTGGAGGACAGATGGTGTCCAGGCAGTGGGTCCTCCCCTGTCTCCCTGTGCCCCAGATCTGGTGAGGGGACTTGGCCCTGGGATGTCACTGCAGAGTAGAGAAGCTCTTCCTACCCCTGAGAGAGGGGCTCCCTCTGTTCACTGCTGCCAGGTAGAAGCGAATTAAAGGATGTGTGCCCTCTATTCCCAGGCTGTTGAGCAGTGAGACTCCCCATGTTTGTCCTGGGCCCCAGGGAGCTTGTGCTGAATTTCTTAATGAAGGATCATGAAGCTGGGCCAGCAGGGTCCCCAGGGGATACAGGGGCTTGGGGGGCTCCAGCCGCCCCACGTTGTGCAGCCTCCCCTTTGTTCAGTTGGGCCCGTGAATGGCCAGCAGTCACAGTAAATTAAACCCATAAACCCACACACGAAGAGTAGAGAGAGAGTACCTACCTGGGGTTCCTGGTGGAAGTGGTGCCCGGTAGCTGTCTGGTCCTTATGTAGGAAGCCCTGTGTTTGTTTTAAACTAGTAACCCCTTCCTAACTTCCTGTGGCTGCTTTACATTCTTTGGGAACTCATATGCTCGTGTCCTCTGGGTAGAAATCAGCAGTGGAGGTCACATGCTCGGAGAGATTGCTGCGTTGGCACCTGCTCCAGCTGTCACCAAGTGGTCCCAACTCTGGTTCAGGTGGGAGGGGGGAGGCGGCTCAGGGGTCCAGGTCAGCTTTGCTGTTCTCTGCTGCTCTGCATACTCCCCTTCTGAAATTCCTCTTCTTCCTGGCTAGAATGAGGTGATGGTTACCAGATTTTTAAGAGTTTTTCCAGCCCCAACATGTTATTTTCTGTGACTGATGCTGCTTTGGCTTCCACAAACCTCTGGAGCTCATGGGGATCCTGACTCCGGAAAGTTTCACGCTTCCCCAAGCAGGGAAGTGCCATGATAGAATGAGGAGTCTGCTGGGAGGGACGGTGACACAGGCTCCTGACCGTCCTTTCAGAGGAGGCGGCGTGGGGATCGTTTCCAGAATGCGTCGGTTTGCCTTGGTGTTTCCTGACGTCTTGCCTTGTCTCCCTTCCCCTAGCCAGGTTCTGAGAGGGAACAGACTGGCCCTCGAGGGAGAAGAGCTATGGCCCAGTGCTGGCACAGGTGACTACTCCCAGGGTGATGGGCCCCGGGCAGATGACTAGTAATCTGCCTTGTGTCAGAGCCGCTCCTCAGAGTGGCTTTGAGGATGACATGAGGTGATGGATGTGAAAATCTTCTGAGGTGTCATGCACATGACTGCCCCTTCTGTTCCGGCCAGTGGGATTTGCAAGTGTATGCTGTGGTCACACATTCTTGGATGAGGAGTTAATTAACATCACAGGGGAATCCTTCCCTGTTTGGAGAGCTTCATCTAATTGGATGCCCAGGCAGTGACTCCTAAGGGCTAAATGAGTTGCCTCCACAGAAATTGTAGCATTTCTGAGCAGGAACTCTCTTCGTGCTGGGGCTCAGGGGCTCAGAGCTGGGAGATCAGGAAGGGCTCCTTGAAAGAGGCAGAAGGTGAAAATGGAAGGGAGGGCATCACCCGGTGTGAGCAAAGGTGAACAGAAGGCGTGGGTGTATGTAGAGCGTTTGGGGTAAAGATTAGAAAGTTGGCTGCCTTGGATGAGGGTGTCCGTGGGCGGGGGGGAGGGTGTCATCAGGAGAGGCCTAGAAGATGGTTCTGGGTCAGGTTATACACAGCCTTGAAGGCCTTGCTAGCTCAAGGAATTTGGGCGTTTTCTGCAGGAGGGAGGCCCCGGAAGGTTCTTGAACAGAGGAGTGACAGGATTGTAGAATACAAGAGTTGGGAAGACCTTGAAGAGCTGGGAGGCTGAGCTTTGATTTCACTGGAAGGAACCCTGAACACCAAAAAGGCCCCAGTCCCCTCAAAGCCACACAGCCTTCAGTGGCAGATGCTGGCTTCCCAGGTTCCTGGCTGCTAGGTCAGTGTCTTCCCTGATAGACCATCCTGATTGCACAGCAAACCTGGGATTCCAGAAAAATCTGCTTGGGGCAGGGGATGCAGTTAGGCTATCAAGGCAATAGAAGGCTGATCATCAAATGACTGGCCACCTGACTTAAAGGGGGCACTGGACCCTTGTAGAGTCTCTAGGGACAGTGGAGGCATGGGAGGGTCTGGACTAAGCCCCTTAGTAGAAGGTGGGGGACTAAGTACCTTTTCGTGGAAAACCTCTCATTGCCAGATTGCCATAAGGGCTGGAATCCCTCCTTTAGCCCCAGCAGAATGTGAGCATGTTTCCAGGAGGCCTTCCCCCTTGTCAGCCACCTGAGCTTAGATCTCTTGGCTCCTGGGTGTGGACAAATCCGGAGTTCTTGGAGAAGATTTGCAGCTTTTTCAGAGCCCCTTTCCCAAAAGGAAAGCCAAACAGAAGCCCTCACAGACCCAACTATGGTGACCAGGCACCTGCTGAGACATGAAGCCTCTGCCTAATCCGGATGCAGGAGCTGCCAGTGTTGATCCTAGATAAGGCTACCGGCCAGCAAACACCCTGCTCGCTCTGTTATCTTTGGGGGACAGAGAGATGGCCAGTGTGTCGGGAATGACCCTAACCACATACCACAGAGTCGAGGCTGGTAGGGGGAGGGAGGAACATCTGATGGATGTCAGAACTGTTGAAGGAGCCAGGGGACACCCAGAACTTTCCTCGCTGCCCACTCATAGTCATGGAAGCGGAGACAGGCATGCGGTGAGGAATGTATACACATTGGAGCCAAGGGGAGTCTGGAGGAAGACAGTGTGACTCAGGGAAAGGACTGACTTTCCCGAGGCTCATTTTCTTCCTCATTCCTTTCAAGTACGGATCATCTCAAGGCCAGTTTGGCCCCTCCCTGTCCTGTGTCTTTCCCAGAACTTAGCGGGTGCTCATTGCACATGCTTCTTGTGGATTGCTTGCTGGCTGGTGCTTTCTTTCCCATTGTGGGGCCTTGCGGGCCTGCCTTAATGAATGGATGGGAAGCACTCATCATCTCTGAATTAACTGCTGTATGTAAATGGTGTCTGAGAACAAATTATACACTTTCTACTACACTTTCATTTCTACTGACAATTTAGTTGGCTTGTGTAGCACTTTTTTCATCAGTTTGGCCAAACCTCTTGTCTGAATGAGGCAGATTTTGGGGTTGTAGAAAGAGGTTTTTATTTTTTGGTGATGGGGTTATAGATAGACATTTTTTTCTGGTGGGATTTCTTTTTTGTCTTGGTTTCCATACTTTTAGGTTGGCATTGTTCAATAGAAATACCATGCCAGCCTCAAGAGCCTCATAAGTATTTTAAATTTCATTAGGAAATGTAAAACCCAGTGAAATCAACTTAATATATTTTCTTTAATCTAATAAATCTAAAATATCAGTTTGATGTGTAATCAATCTACAAAATGCTTAATGAGATACCAGACACTGGTTTTCTTTTTACGAAATCTTCAAAATTCAGTGCACCTTAAACTTTTTCCAGTACATCTCTGCTCACACTGGCCTTATTTCCAGTGCTTAGTAGCTGCATGTGGCTTGTGGCTGCTGTACTGGACAGCACCATTCTAGGTAATCATGAGTATCATTCTTGCAACTCCCACAAACTTAGCCATGCTCTCTTCCATGCCTCCAGCTGTCTGAGCCAGGTCTTTCCAACCGAGGCTTCCCGTTGTCCTGCCGTCATGGTGCTGGGGCCCCAAGAGTTAGTTTCTCCTACTTTCAATCTTCCTCCCCAACAGCTTCTGCTCTCAGCCTTAAAATATGCCCTGGTCTCTAATCCTGCAAGGGTCTATCTGGCACCGGCCTGCTTCCCTTCACTCTACCACCTCCAGGAATAACTTCCTTTCCCTTTCCCTGTTTCTTCCTTAGTGTACACTGGCCCCTCAAAACCCCAGAGAGAACTCCCATCTACACCCTGTGTTGAATCCGTTCTCCGTGTGTTGCTGGTAGCAAAGCCATAGTCTAGGGACCACTAAGAGCCATGGGATCTCAGGATGAGGACTTCAAGGCTGTCTAATCTCAGTTTCTGGGTGCAGGCCTGTGCTGGGCTGCACTGGATTCGTGCGGAGCTTATAAGGACACTGGGTATTTTTATACCTGATTCTGATCTGAAGTGGGGCCCCAGAGTTTATATTTTTTAAAAAAATTTATTTACTTTAAATGGTTATACATTTTGAGGGGGGGGGTAATGTGTGAGTAGGGGAGGGGCAGAGCAAGAGACAGGGAGAGAGAACCCCAAGCAGGCTCCATGTCCTGTGCAGTGCAGAGCCCCACGCAGGGCTCGATCTCATGAACTGTGAGATTATGACCTGAGCCGAAATCAGGAGTAGGATACTTAACCAACTGAGCCTCCCAGGCGCCCCTAAATTTTTATTTAAATCCCAGTTAGTCAACATATAGAGTAATATTAGTTTCAGGTGTACAGTGTAGTGATTCAGCACTTCCATACAACATCTAGTGCTTATCATGACAAATGTCCTCCTTAATCCCCATCCCCTATTTCACCCATCTCCCCACCCACCCCTCCTCTGGTAACCATCAGTTCTCTGTAGTTAAGAGTCTGTTTCTTTGTTGGCTTTTGTTTTTCCCCATTTTGCTTGTTTGTTTTGTTAAGTTCCATATATGAGTGAAATCATAAGGTATTTGTCTTTCTCTATTTCACTTAGCATTATACTGTTGAGCTCCTCCATTCATGTTGTTGCAGATGACAAGATTTCATCCTTTTTTATGGCTGAGTAACATTCCAGTGTGTGTGTGTGTGTGTGTGTGTGTGTGTGTGTGTGTGTGTGTGTGTGTGTATACACCACATTATCCATTCATTAGTCATTGGAGGCTTGGGTTGTTTCCATAGTTTGGCTATTGTAGAGAAAGCTGCTACAAACATCAGGGTGAATGTGTCCCTTTGAATTAGTGTTTTTATATTCTTTGGGTACACCTAGTGCAATTGCTGGATTGTAGAGTAGTTCTATTTTTAACTTTTTGAGGTATC